AAAACTATTTTGCAACAATTAAATGAAAGTAAAGTCAACAATTTAACTCCTAAAGAGAAAAAGCTTTATTTTATTAATAGAGAACAAAATATTAGAATTTGCAAATTAAAGAAAGCATTTAGTGTTTCCAAAAATAAAATCAAGAGGGCATTTGAATTATCCAAAGCTCAGTTGTTTTCAGATTTTAATAAGAAATTAGATCCGGTTGGAATGAAATTTTTTAAAAGTAGCTTAGAAAATTGTCGAAGAAAAAAACCCTCTTGGACCACTCAGAATAAAATTTTTTCTTTAGCATTGTACAAAAATGGTCCAAGAGCATATAATTTTTTAAGAAAGTTTATTTCGTTGCCTAGTAAATCTACTATCCAACAAATTTTAAGTGATTTACCTTTTGAAACGGGCATAAATATTTCAGTATTTTCCAGATTTAAAGAAATTGTTAATAAAATGTCTGAAATTGATAGGAATTGTATTTTAATGTTCGATGAAATAGCTTTAACCAAAAAACCCACTTTTGATATAGTCAATAACAAAATTGTTGGATATGTTGACTTGGGAAAAAAATTAGGTAGACGTCCAGAAGTAGCTGATCATGCTTTAGTTTTTTATGATACACGGTTTAAAAAAAGTTTGGAAACAACCTATAGCATATTATTTTACACATCATGCTATAAATAGTAAAGATCTTACTGAGTTGATTAAAGAGGTTATTACGGCTCTTCAAAATATAGGTTTAGTTCAAATATAATTCAAATCAACTATTGCACTATGAGAAATAAACTGAAAGTTTTTTCTATAAACTAATTTTAGACAAATTAAAAATAAATTTTACTTTAATAAGAATGGGCAACATTTTGATAAGAGAAATTGTTCAATAAGATGCAAGTATATACACTTTTTTGTTTTTATAGGAAATGCCTGACACCTGCATCGAAATTTGGACAAGTTTTCCAAGAATGAGAGGAGAATAACATTAATTTAACTTACAGTGATTGTTATTTGTACATGGTCTGTATATAATAAACGTTTGAATATACCTTACTTTTATTAAATGATTAAACTATACCTGTGTTTCAAATATTTTAATGTAAATATTTTTAATTTATATTTTTTGGAGTTTTATTACTTAAAAAACTAATATCTATTAGTTTTCTAAGTAATAAATGCCAAGAAATATAAATAAATAATAAAGGACATTTTGAATGAGCCGCAGTTAAGCTCAACACTCTTCTTTTTAATTTTCTTCTAAGCTGCCTCTAACTGTCAAGTTAATCGGCCAATTGTGTAGAGTGCGACGGTGGCTCCAAGTAGTATGGCCGGGAACTACCACTTGTTACCAGTGCCGTGCATTTAAACGGTTTATCTTTTTAATATAATTTATCTATGAACATGGTAGTATGACGATTTCTCGCTTTGCATGCATTTTTTATAGGTCGCAACGCGCCCATGCGCCAACTTGGCTGAATAATGAGAGAAGGAGCGTTGTCATAGCTACCGTGTTCCGGGCCGCTTACTGATAAAAAATATTGATGACTGAATGGCTTTAAACACAGAATTCGCTTGAAAATCGAATTTTGACGTTAAGTTTTCATGGAAATTAGTAAAAATAAAAATGATTTTAAATCTGGCTTTTCGATTGCATTTTAATGAAATAAATATAAGCAACTTGGTAACATTTTCATATAAGGACCCAACGGCAAGTAATTGAAATTTAAATAAAATATTAAATTCGATTTTTTGACGGATTCTATGTTTCTCAAATAATTAAATAGCAACTTCGTTACAAAGTTAATATTATTTTTCATTACTGAGTTAGGAGTTTTTTCAACATTTTAACCCCACTTTTTCCCTGATTTTTATTCAGTTTTCTTTTTTAGAATCAATAGGCTTAATTCCTTTATACTAAAAATTTTATGTTGATATCGCTTTTGGTGTTTTTTATTTCAACCCTCCTTAACCCCCCACCCATTTTTTTTCACATTTTTTTTAAATCAATAAACTTTGTTCCCTTATAGAGTTTAATTTTTGCTAGAAATTTCAAGTTGATGTATTTTGTTTTTGAGTTAGGATTTTTTAATATTTCAACCCTCCTCAACCTCCTATTTTAATTCAGACTTTTTCAGAATCAATAGGCTTCATCATCTTATAGAACTTGATTTTTACTAAAAAATTCATGTTGATATCCGCTTTTTGTTCTTGATTTACGATTTTTTTTTAATTCCTAACTCTCCATTTTTATTCAGATTTTTTTAAAAATCAATTGACTTTGTCCCCTTATAGAGCATGTTTTATGCTAAAAATTTCAAGTTAATATCATTTTTTTCGTTTTTGAGTTAAGATTTTTTTATTATTTCAAACCCCTAATTTAATTTCAGAATTAATAGGCTTCATCCTCTTATAGAGCTTGATTTTTAATAAAAACTTTACCCGTTGTTCTCTCCCGGTTCTTCCCTATGTTTAATCACCCGTTTATCCCCTTCGCCCCCGTTCACCCCCGTTCACCCCGGTTCACCCCTGTTCACTCTCACCCAACCAACTAACCAACCTTTGTTTACGCCCTTCGTTCACCCGCCCTTCAGTTCTAGTTCATCCCCACCCTTTACCCCCTGTTTACCACCCACATTTGTTTACCCCCAACCCCCTTTCACTTCCACCCCTCGTTCACCACCACCACCCCCGTCCTTTGGTTTTCGGGTAAATTTTCTTCCGGAAAATAAAGCAGAATGTTAATTAAAACAGAAATATGTTACAATAGTTCAGTTTGAATTATTTCAAAACAAAGTTTCATGTGATGTTTTTGAAGATATGACGATTTATTTTATTCTGACGTATCGTTATTCATAATGTTTTACGTTTACATTTTACTTGTAGGTACAACAAGGGTACAACAAACTACCACATAGCTTTAATATTTTAGGTTAGGTACTTATAAGATTGTTGTTTTTTGAAGGAAAAAGCGCACTGCTTTGATATTAAGGGCGGCGGCAAGTGATTGCACCCGATATTTGCTTCCTAAAACTAGCAAGACTGATTGGACTAAACTAAAAGCACTCTCTAATGAAGAATGGATGAAATGTGAACATACTCAAGAAGAGACTGAAAACCACATTTCCCCTTCTTTATATAAATCAATACTGTTTATCGTTTGAATGGGCATTGGTCGCTTATAGATATTTTTTTTTTCTTAAATAGAATATGAAGTTACTGCACCTACGATTCGGTAGAAGTTTCAATAGAGCAAAGGGCATGGAGAGCATAGAAGTCTGGTTTGGCCGACGATATTGCTACGGGTCAATTATTTGGGACTAAAAGCTACATTGTCAAAAACAATATTAACACGGACTTTAATAATGAGGAAGTCGAAGACCCATTTCATAATTCAAATAAAGATGAAGTCGACCCTGATTATAATATATCAAATTCTGGATCTGAAAGTGACAGTGAAAGTAGAGATGAACCGGCAACTGGAATTGAAATCGAAAATGCAAACGAATTAATTGCAGAAAAGAGGAAAACAGGCAAATTTAATAAAAAATACTGTGGCAAAACTGCGGTGAGGAATACGAGTCTAAAACCAGTTGAAGAGTAAACAAACGAAGCGTGAAGCCTCCTTGCCACAAATGTAAACTCAAGTGCACTAAAAAAATTAACGAAAACTATGGGAAAGAAATTTTTGCAATGTTGTATAGACAACTAGAGTTCATAAAAGATAGTACACAGGCAGTTGTTCCCAAGTATAAGAGGATTACATTGAATTCTGTAAGAGAAAGGGATGTTTTGATTAGTTTGAGTCTTGTACTTATGTATTTTAATATTATTAATTTATGCTTTATATACTTCTAATTATTGAATTTTTTCATTAGGAATTTATTGTATTCTGCAAAGCAATAGCCTTACTGCTTATAACCTATACTTATATATATATATATATATATATATACTGTGATTATACCTTCCATAAATAGTTTATGTTTTATTTTTTTATTTTCCTCAAAAAAAAATCATGAAGTAATACACGCTATAAAACATTATTCGCCTTCATAGTGGATAAATCGATAATACCTATATAAAATAATGTAAGAGAGTCAAACAGATTGCATACATTTCATCCCTGAGAGAGACGCATACAGTCAAGAGACTGCTTCCTTTCCTGTAAAACCATGACATCAGTAATTGTTTATTGCTATATTTTTGTTAATTTCATAGCAAAAAATATAATAAAAGCACTATTACCTTGTCAATACACAGGCGAAACTTTTACGACGAATATTTTTTTTTTCGTTTAGGCCTTCGTTTTTCGTCAAATGAAAGGTATATTTCTAAAAGAAGATTTTTTAACCAAATTTGTCGACAGCCAAAATAAGTTTTAATCTACACCATACTTATATTGTAAAATACATAGGTATTATTATTTTGTGCTATTGTGGAATATTTTTCGGTTCCTTTGTCTTTAACTTCGCGCGTTAAAGTTTAGAATATGCATCCCTCGTATCTACATGCAATTGTTAAAATTATGAATGAATGCTGATTTTGTTTGGTCTCGGAAGTAATTTTCTAGTATTTAGGCTCCAACCTTAAGTTGTAATTTTTATACCTACTAAACTACCGTTGCCCCGCAGGTCTTTTAGTTTGTAATGTAAATTTTCCTCTTAAAGTTATACTGGCCATATCTGCATATTTCTTTTAATTTAAGCAATTTTTAATTTATTTGCAATAAGCAGTATTCGTCTAAATTTTTTTATGCATAAGGTGAACCAAATGGACGTTCAAAGGAAAAAATCACATGCGAAAACTTTAAAGCGATCTGGTGAAAAATATGCCTTTTGCAGATATGTCGGTTTAATTTCATGAGAATTTTAAAATCAAAAATATTATTTATCTGTTTCATTGATTCTAGATCATTTCACATAGTGAATCTAAAATACTGTTTTAATTCAAAACATAATTCAAACTTAAATAAAACTTCATATTTTTTTATATATTTTTATTATTCACATATGCAACAAATTACTCATTTTGGTTAGACATATTTAAACCATAGAACAAAGTGCTTCAGCACCCTTTAAATCTATCAGAATATCACTCAAAAGCGTTTTTACTTTCGTCAGAGGACAATTCAACTCGCATCCTTTAATACTAAGCTGAGTCAGTTTATCGTTGCTCCTTAGCCATAATTGGACAACATTATTGAAATTAACTCTCCTTAACTCAAACCAAAGGGACACTGCGAACGGTACTGGTTTTGCTGGTCTATTTCCTACACTGCTTAATATGGAAAATATATTACTGTCATGACAGCTTATCATTTGATATTTTGGCAAAGAAGTTGGATCTGCTATTATTCCTTCAAAGTGTTCAATGATGTCATTCAGAAGTATTCCAATAACTGCAAATAGATAAACATCTTAATAATTCGTATTTTACTGGACGCAGAATTTATGAAGTGTTAGAAATACAGGGTGTTTCAGAATAAGTGCCGTAAACAGGATATCTTAACTTATTAATAAGAAAAAGGCACAGAAAATCCAAAAATTGACAGCTATTCAACATAACAGGAGTCATAAAAACAACATCGACCAGAGCCATGGAAGTCATTCCTAGTCTCACTTCCCTTGATATTTACATTAAAGAGGTTGCTTTCCTTACAGTAAAGATTTTAACTTAAAAATTATGATCATGTTAGTTAATCATCTTTATTAGTTAACACACTCTATTCCGATAAATTATGATAACCCATTGGTGCAGAATCAAGGGCTAAAAAAACAATTTTACTTCAAACTTAATAACATCATTTATTTCATAAAAGTTAAAATTATTAATTATTATTCCTCACAAAATTTGTCACAAAAAAGAGACTCTTGCTTGATCTCTGTAGAATATTATTCCATTTCCGAAATTCTTGATATTTAGTTCTACTCAAACATGAAATTTATGTACACATTTATCAGGGGCCGATTTCATAATGAATATTAAAAGGTCCCTTGACCAATGGGACGAAGATCTTATAGACTTAAAGGTTGCATTAGTTAATGGACCTTTTAATATTGATTATGAAACCATCCCTTAATATAAATTTGCATTTTTGGTATTTCATAATGTATAATAGCTTTTATGAGTGAGCAGGGCTAAAACTGAAATATCTCAGAAATGGAATGTTTTAAGAAAATCAACCAAGAGATCCTTTTTTGTGACAAATTGCGAGAGGAATAATTATTAATCTTAGGGTGTTCAAAATTGGTTTCTTACCCCTTGATTCTACCCCAATTGGTTATCCTAATTTATTGAAATAAAGTGTATTCATCAATAATGGTGATTAACTAACATTTTTATAGAAAATTATGTATTTATAAAATTCACTTTATCATGAATGAAAACTGTCACTTTTGCAGGAAAATTATATTAAGCTTTTCATAATAATTAATTACGATCTAAAAGTCCCCAGATTACGATACTTTATTCTGAAATACTTTGTAGAAACTCATTCCATAAATACTTACACAATTTCTTCATTTGGTCATAATACACAATCTGCTCAAAAACAGATGCTGCCAGTGTGCTTAATGGTTCGGGATAAACAGCTTGTGTCCAAGATGGAAGGGGATATCCCACTTGTTCCTCAATATGTAAAGAATCATAAATATATACGGCCTTAGTCATACTCATGGAAGTTGAATTGGTATGTTTGGAAATGTACTGGAACATACTTGCATATATATTATTTAGATTTGCAAATTCTTCGCTGGCGGCAGCTTTAGCTGACAAATTGTTATAAAGAGGACAACTCTCCCCCCTACCATTGAAAATCTTTCTTGGATCAGCTGGATGAACAGGTATGGGTTGCCAGTCTACGTTTTTGCGCCATACGTCGCTTCCCTTTGGAGGATATAGTCCATTTAAATTAGCCTGCGCTGACATGTGAGTTCTATCATAATCCGTAGTTTGTACATAGATGTCTTTTTTGTTGTAGACTTCTGGTAACCAATCTGCATATCTTTTTCTCGAGAATTGGCCTAGTGCATAATGTTCACGTTTACCTTCCTAAAACAAAGGTAATGAATGTAAGGAAAATATCATTGAAATTATGTAAGAATTTCCGGAAATGAAAGTACTATAAAAATAAAAATCTGATGTGTCCAACACATGAGTTTCCTATCTAGTTATTACAGGCTTTTTCCGGTTATTTTGTACAACCAATATATAGAGGATAAACTAAATATATACATTTCCTACATACTTCTAACTCTAACTTTTTTTTTATATATATTCATTGCCAACGAAAATACTGAAAAATTAAAATTTTACACTTTTTCTCCAATTTTTCCGTACGGTACATTTTAGAGAAATCATGTATAAAACAACACTTATAGAGATCGATATCACAAACAGCTTTTATAAAAATTTAATTTTTTTACATTTTGTCAAATTTCTCGAATACTGACCATTTAAAAAAAAATTTAAAACGAAGCACTTTGTGATCTTGGTAATTTTGGTTTAATCAACTTATTTTGATCTCAACAACATACAGTAGCTCTAAGTACACGAAATTTTGGGTCACCCTGTATTTTAAAATGTTTGTGTTGATTGAATAAACAAATGTTATTTTTGTTCATTGCTTTATGATCAAAATGTTACTTCTAATAATTTAAAGATTTAATTTAATATTTTCTTACAAATTTTCTCTTTTTCATAAATTATTTAATAGTTTCCAAGTTATTATAAAAAAATCTTTTTTCAATTTGTAACTTCACAGGTATATTTGGACTCCAAAATATCTAGTATAATTTAAGGCCTATCTTTTCGGTACACCCTGTAGGTTGATGTAAATAAATATTAGGTTACTTACATTTGTTAGTTGGCCATAGTCTAGTCCATCCCAATAAGTGTGAATATCTTTGTATGGGTCAGTGGAAGAAAAATATACTGGTGTTCTCTGCCCATGTCTAAAAACCTAGAATTGTGTATAATTATATTAGTGTTTTATTTAAAAATTTACAATGGCTATAACTCATGAACTAAAGCAGATATCAACAAATGATTCTAGGATACAAATTAGGATATTAAATTAAAAAATATATAATTTATCCCATCAACCCCTGCGTAACCTGCCACAATAACAAAAAAAACAACCTCTAACATCATTGGAACGTTAGTGAAAAATTATAAAGTAATTACAAAAATAGGCAGATTCACCGAGAAAAAACTTTGCTAGTGGATATTAAAAATTTAATAACGGTTATTAAATGTTTTTAATACTATATGAGACAGCTTAACTGATTAATAGAACACATTAAACTCTTTTTCTTGAATCAGTGTTGCTATAACAAAGAAACTAATAAAAAACTTTGCTTATCATTAGTAAATTAATTTGGTAAAAGGTATTATACAGTTTAATAGGAGAAACTAAATTCTTTAATAGTCATTATTAAACAGAGTAATGATGGATATTGAACATCTTTATAGCATTTGGTTCATAAGTATTGATAATTAATTATTACTGGCTTTAATGAAGAATATTTGCAGGTTCTAATACTGTCTATTATACCACTTTAATTATAATTATTAAATACTTTCATAGAGATCCCCTTCCCAAAAATTGCCAATTGTCTTTATCTAACTATATGAAATACATGTAAATCTTAAGTTAGTACCCACTTTTTTTTTTTAGATCAAGAAAAAATATCTACTTAGATAAAGGTTATAACTGGACTAATATAGGTCTATTTTTCCAAAACTTTTGAGAATGATTGTGTAGGTATGTTTTTATGAATCCTAAAGATTTATCATCAAATCCGTAATATGAGCACTTGGCAGAAAGCAGTTTGTGATTTATAGTGTCGAACGCTTTACTAAAGTCTAAAAGAATTACTGCACTCGATTGTTTCTTGTCCATGCTGCTTAGAATATTATCTAATAGATATGCCAGAGAAGTTGTGGTACTGAGACCTTTCTGAAATCTTGACTGATGTATTGGAATTATATGATTTTGAGATAAAAAATTTATAAATTTGCGAGTAAGCGGCACGTTCTAAAATTTTTGAAATTAAAGGAAGTAGAATAATGGGCCGTAGTTCATTGTATGAGCTTGGGTTGGATTTTTTAGGCAGTGGAATTACTATTGACTGTCTCTAAGAACGTGGAGAATAACCTTGCTCTAAACATACATTAATTATATGTAGCAGGTACACATCGATAACATGTAAGCATAATTTTAACATAATGCATGCTAATACCGTCATTTCCTTCTGCGTTTGATTTAATACTTTGAACAATATTGTATAGTGTTGTGATAGTTATAGTTTTAAAACAAAAACTAATATCTTTATTATGTCTACTATTTCTATAAAAGCAAATTGAATTTAAACATTTATAGTCACTGTCCTGAAAGACTGATGAGAAAACAGAATTAATTTCAAATGGGTTAGAAAAGCCCGGAGAAATGTGTTGTTTTGGTCGACTGTATTTTCATTTTCCTAAGAGCTTTATAAAATTTAGATTTAGAAGACTGTTTATTTAGATATTCTAAATACGCAGCTTTTTCAAGCCTTAATAAGGCTAATGCAAAATTTCTGAGTCTTTTATGATTATTCCAATTTTCAGAATTTAACTATAAAACATTTGCGTAAATTAGGTGTTGTTTCAAGAATTATATTGGATTTGTTATTAAAATTTGAAACTGCTACAATTTTCATTTTTTTGAGGCTAAAATTATCAATTAGATCATTTAATGTAAAGATTTCGTTCAAAAGATCATCATTAGGTTGTTTGTCGTTTAGATTTACATCGTTTAGTATAAGACGTGGATAAATTTATTTATCTGTTCCACCCTGTATTTCGAACCTAAAGCATTATTAACACAAGATTTTAAATTTTTTAAGGAATCATCATTTTCGCAATTCACTATTATTCCACCTCTAACTTTTTAATACTGTCTATACGGATATTTTTGTCACTAGGATGAATATGCTTCTGAATATCCTTTAAACCATCATCATTGTTAATTGTGGATCTTTGGGATTTTATCACTAAACCGGGTTTATTTGTTGATGTATTTTTAAGTGCACTACTATAGGATGCTAGTTGGTTTTGACTATTAGAAGAAATATTTGTACTCACTCCAGATCCAGAATTATTAGAATTTTTTGTCATACCCAGTTTTTCTTTTAAGAGCTCATTGCTGCATTTTAACTCACTGTTAGGGAGATTAATAAATTATTTTCACGTTTTAGTGATTCGTATTCAGTTTTTTTGGGTACAACGCCTATCAGTTTTTGCGGCAAAAGAACTTTGCAATCATCGCAGAACCAAAAAAACGCTATCACTTCTGTTGATAAATTTTAAACAATCATCTTTTTCACGTACACAGTGTGAATGAAAATACTTTTTACAACTAAAAACACTGTATTTTACTAGTTTTCACAACAAAATTGTCGGAGCAACGGTCACATATGACTTCGCCCGCCATCGTACTAGGTACTGATACTACTGATAGGATACCTTATTAAAAAGATAATAAAGAGAAAAGCGGAAGAGGAGAAAGACTACCACGAAATGGGGGAATGCCAGAATGCTCTGACAAAATAGTCAGAAGATTGCTCCCGGAGCATTCTACAAAGATTGTTGAATAAGATTGAGTTTTAGTGGGTAGTACATATGGGCGAGTCCCACACTCCCTGTCCTATACAGGGGTGCGTAAAAGCTTTTTTTCACAAAAAGAGTATAAAGTTTCTAATAAAATGGACTTAGTTTAAAATTATTGTTTTAATTCTATGGGTTTTCAGAAGGGTTCCGCAACACTTTGACCTCCCTACTTTTTTAGACTATGAAATTCAGTAAAAAAACTGGATGCTTCGGAAATCATAGATCTGTTTGATTTTTTTTATCTGTTAGTATTTGTTCGTGAACGTCTTAATTACTAAGTTACAGGCCCCTGAAGAAAGGTAATAGTGAAAAATACAATAAAATTGTTCTACTAATGATTTTAAATTACTGAATATTTGTTCGCAATTTTATTAAATTTATTTTACATGGATTCTTGAAGTTGTAAAATATTAAAAAAAAATTATAAGCAAATATTCAGTGGTTTCATCAAAAGATAAAATTCATTGTGGGTATTTTTTCACTATAACCAACCTTTAGAAACCTGTAACTCTGTAACAAATACTTTTAACACAAACATTTCAAAACAGATGTGGGATTTCATTTGTTTCTTGTTTTTAACTGAATTTTATTGTCTAAAAAAGTAGGGGGTCAAATGGTTGCGGAACCCTTACAAAAACTTATAGAATTAATTTAATTTTGAAAGCCACTAACTTCATTTTATTAGTAACTGTATACTAACATCCCATGTACATTTTCATTAAAATATGTTTAGTCATTTTAGAGTAAAGGCACAAAATCACTTCTAAAATTTCAACTTTAACATTTTTGCTATCCATTTTTTATATATGCAATAAGTTCATGTTGATTTTACTCTTCGCTAAAATGAACAAAAAAAAAATAAAAATAAACAATGATTTTATTGCGCATCACAGTTCGGCCAAATGCCTAGCGACAAACCTAGATGTACGACTTAAATGGAAAAAACACATAAAAAAAGCGTGAAAAACTTGTTAATAAATAAAAAACAATGTATTAGCACCTACAAAAGATCCAAACGTCAGTGTATGATAAACTGTTAAGTTATATATACAAATCCAAAAACCAGTCTGGATTTATAGCATACAGCTATGGGAAAGTGCCAGCAAGAGTAATATAAACATAAGTTTTCCATGATAAAATCCTAAGATACATTGGTGATACACCTTGGTTCTATCAAAACTGTTGTTCTTCATAGAGACCTAAAGATGTCAAAAGTATAAGAAAACATGAAACTCCTCTCCCAAATTAGAAAACGCTGCAATTACTGGAAAACTCTATACTCAACAAAAGGGAAAGAAAAACTTATTTTCAGAAAAAGTGTTTTATATTAAATGTTAATGGGTACATATTACTACCTCGTGGAACAGCTGCGAAAGAGTCAGACTTGTATCTCTTTTACCAAAACCTAAGGCTAATCCAGTAATACAGTGCAAAGAAAATAAGATTTTTTTAGTAATAGGGTAAGCCATAATTAATGAGTCAAATTGTAACAGAATCAATAATAATATTTTATTTATTAATAATAACTAAGTCCTGTATTTATAAAAATATATAGTCAAGTTCAATAAAAAACTGTTTAACTTACCTGTACAACTGATATCAGATTGTCATTGTTGGTGGCACTGACAACTGCAACAGAGAAGATCAAACAAGCTGCTTTGAACATATTTTCTACGATAACCACTTGGAAAGTAAATCTTTATTTATATAGATAACTTCGTACAAATTTAAATAATGCCGAAATTAGATCAAATACTTTTTATTTCTACATTTTATTAGTTGTAAATGGTTTATAGCAATAAATGGTGGATATTTTTTTACGATTTGATTTCGGCAAAGAGTTTTCAATAAAAATTACTCATATCTAGATATATTTAGAATAAAATGTAAACAAAAAATATTTCTAAATTATAACTTGTTCTTGAACGTCTCTCATAAAAGATTTAAGTACTTACTGAATTACAAGGAAATAATCTCAATACCTACATTGACCTTTCCAATCCTATCTTGCTAAGAAAATTTAAGTTAGGTAAATCGGCCTTTCCTATTTGGTACGTTCCTTAGTAGAGTACCTTTAGATTCTGGGGTGCTACACATTCAGTTAGAATATAAATAAAGGATTCATCCTCCTCCTCTCAGAATTTGCACTTACTATCTTCTAATACTCTCAGTTTACCACGGTGTCCTTTGAGTGGTCAATTCTCGGTTAGGATCACTCTTACAATGAGACAGGCATATTCAGGCTTCCGATCTTTTTAAGTTATATTCACCCTTAAGTATTTATCGATTATTTTTAATCTTTTCTAATAT